AAGCAATCAATCAATCAATCAGATTCCAAACTCTCCACCATGGCCAAGACCAAAGAGCTCTCCAAGGATGTCAGGGACAAGATTGTAAACCTACACAAGGCAGGAATGGGCTACAAGACCATTGCCAAGCAGCTTGGTGAGAAGGTGACAACAGTTGGTACGATTATTCGCAAATGGAAGAAACACAAAAGAACTGTCAATCTCCCTCGGCCTGGGGCTCCATGCAAGATCTCACCTCGTGGAGTTGCAATGATCATGAGAACGGTGAGGAATCAGCCTAGAACTATACGGGAGGATCTTGTCAATGATCTCAAGGCAGCTGGGACCATAGTCACCAAGAAAACAATTAGTAACACACTACGCCGTGAAGGACTGAAATCCTGCAGCGCCCGCAAGGTCCCCCTGCTCAAGAAAGCACATATACATGCCCGTCTGAAGTTTGCCAATGAACATCTGAATGATTCAGAGGATAACTGGTTGAAAGTGTTGTGGTCAGATGAGACCAAAATAGAGCTCTTTGGCATCAACTCAACTCCCCGTGTTTGGAGGAGGAGGAATGCTGCCTATGACCCTAAGAACACCATCCCCACCGTCAAACATGGAGGTGGAAACATTATGCTTTGGGGGTGTTTTTCTGCTTAGGGGACAGGACAACTTCACCGCATCAAAGGGACGATGGACGGGGCCATGTACCGTCAAATCTTGGGTGAGAACCTCCTTCCTTCAGCCAGGGCATTGAAAATGGGTCTTGGATGGGTGTTTCAGCATGACAATGACCCAAAGCACACGGCCAAGGCAACAAAGGAGTGGCTAAAGAAGAAGCACATTAAGGTCCTGGAGTGGCCTAGCCAGTCTCCAGACCTTAATCCCATAGAAAATCTGTGGAGGGAGCTGAAGGTTCGAGTTGCCAAACGTCAGCCTCGAAACCTTAATGACTTGGAGAAGATCTGCAAAGAGGAGTGGGACAAAATCCCTCCTGAGATGTGTGCAAATCTGGTGGCCAACTACAGGAAACGTCTGACCTCTGTGATGGCCAACAAGGGTTTTGCCACCAAGTACTAAGTCATGTTTTGCAGAGGGGTCAAATACTTATTTCCCTCATTAAAATGCAAATCAATTTATAACATTTTTGACATGCGTTTTTTCTGGAATTTGTTGTTGTTATTCTGTCTCTCACTGTTCAAATAAATCTACCATTAAAATTATAGATTGATCATTTCTTTGTCAGTGGGCAAACGTACAAAATCAGCAGGGGATCAAATACTTTTTTCCCTCGCTGTATGTATTCGGCGACGTTTCGGTCAATGGCCCTTCGCCAGACAGCAGGTAGGAGAGGCCAGAGATGCAGTATAAATTAGCCGTCTGGCACTGGTAACCCGGTGAACAGACATTCCTCCCGTACAGCTCAAGGCACAGAGCCTTAAATCTGTGGCTTTGCCACCTGAATTGGTGCATGAGGAAACTTGGGAAGTCTTCACAGTGGGCCTCCTGGTATCCTGTTAGCCATGTATGTATGTATGTCTGTTGAACTTCGTTCGCACCGTACGTAGCCAACCGCGCTTAATCGTAAGTGGCGAGATGCTTTGGTTGTGACATTGTTGACGGTCATGGACTTACGAACATAATTTTTGTTCCTGGCGGCCCATTCGTAGGTCTGACTGTTCGTAAGTCGGAACACGACAATGGAATCGTATTTCAACGCCCGCACGGTCAGCGTTACGAAATGTGTTACGGGTCAACAAAAAACAGGGGAATCATCGTTAAAACGTATTAATAAGAATAAACGTTGTACATTGGCATGCACAATTGGAATAAGTAATAACAAAAACATAAAATAAAGTAACATGAATCGAACAAAAAAAGAATGAGGCCAGGCTCACGTTCGTGTGTGGCTGCCACATCGGCCGCGGAAAGGGTCAAGCTCAACTGACCTGGCCACAAATGGATAGGTCAATGAAGTGACTGATCGTGTGGACATTCATTGCAGCCGAATACTCTGCTGCTGATTCTAAATGTGGAGGGAAGCACCGGAGGACCCTGAGAAAGATCCACGCGACCACGGGGAGAGAGAGAGAGAGACATCAACACTCCAAATATACAACAGGCCTCGGGTTCCGGGTTCGAACCCACGAACATCTTGGGCCGTCCACAAATGACGTCACGCGATTTTAGACTATTTTTTTACACCCCCCGCGTCACGCGGCGTCACGAAAAGTGAGACCCCACCCCTCAAATATGACGTCACAAAGCTCTCCCCCCCCCTCCCCCCTGCCAAAATCATATTTCCATTTTGAAAATAAAATATAATTCAAATCGCTTTAAACTATTGTAATTGGAGTGCGAATTTAATGTGGCGCTGCAACTCTGATGTTGTAGGAGAAAACATTTATTTAAAAAAATATATTTAATTAAGTAGAACGTGTTGTCTATATGTATTTAAAGTTGTGCATTTTGATTTGACGTCACGTATCTCAAACCCCCCCCCCCCCACTCTCGTCACACATCGTCACAAATGTCTGACCCCCCCCCCCCCCCCCAGGTGCGTGACGTCATTTATGGACGGCCCTTTCCCGTCTTACCAGGCGAGGTAGTTAATATCTGGCGACGGCGGCGAGCTTGCTCGCAAAAATCCCATCGAGTGTCGAGCCACAGCTCCTCGCAGCTGGGACGGTGGTGATGGTGGTGGTGGTGTGATTGGGACAGAAAGTAAATAATTTAATATAAATTTGACGAATTATGGGTTGTGGAGTGCTGTCACATTTTATGGCTCGCGCTGTAAATCAAACACGAAATTAATTTAGAATTAAACTTTTTTTTTGGGGGGGGGGGCGGTGGTGGGGGTGGGAGGCGGTCTGTATCTCTGTTAAGAATGCTTGCAAGAAGAGTCTGTGCGTGCATGCGATTGTCTCTGTGTGCGGATGTGATTGGGGAGCGGTGGCTCAGCGGTGAGCGTGCGACAGACTACGGACCCGAGTTCAATTCCCTCTGAAGGAATATCCGGAAACAGACCTGGTCCTCCCCTAGGTCGACGCAGCCTTAAATTACTTCGCGGAGCGGTGTGTAAACATCAGCATTGGGGATACAAAGGCGGCCGGGCTTAGTGCTGGCCATCAGCCCCTTGTGTACAGTGCAAGCCTTCATAGGTGCTACTCGCTAAAAAACACTTGCCCCTGCAATCCGTTAAAGGCTATACGGGGGCTCTTTATCTTTGCATGCGATTGAAACCTTCACTGGCATCTGAAGTTGCAAGGGCCATGCCTGCCCTGGTTTGTTTACAGTGTGGAGCGCTGTGCTTTTCAGGCCGAGTGGATCCGAAGGTATCACTCGGCTACGTCTTGGAGAGACCTTGCATGTATTTTGTGTTATCTCTTAGGCTCAGTAAACTTTGGGGAAGGTCCATCGATAGGCAGTATTTTCAGCCGGAACAGCCCCGAACACCATTCCTTGGAATCGTTTTGGCCCATGCCGCAGCTGTCTCACCGTCTGTTTGCCCCCTGCAAATTTGTATCAATCTGTTCATAGGACTATAGTAATATAGGGCTCTTTCGGTAAAGTCACGTTGAAGGGAAATAATAAAATAATAATATATATGAATCACTGCGGTCACGAAAGCTTTAAATCAAAATTTAATATAGGGCTGTTATTTTTTTTTCCATCACCGTATCATTACTGGCAAGTCCACCTCGGAGATGACGTCAGATGGGCTTCTGCTGCCGTTCGGAACGCTCTTCCTTCCGATGTTAGGACGTCAGTGAGAGCTATGCCCTTTTAAATGCAGATTTGGAAACTCATTTCTTAAGAACTGCTTTTTTGTGTTTAGTTTGTTGTCCTTCCCCCGAAACCCCCCCCCCCTCCCTCCCCAAACAACTAAAATTGTCACGATTGGCCACATACGGTGCAAAAGAAGTCCAGCGTACACACGCTTCTATTACAGAGACGGACACAAAAAAAGGTGAACTTTAAATCACTGTTTAGTCGTAATATTTGTTTACTATACACGTGCTCGTGATCTCAATTGCCATACGTTACAACTGGAGGGCAGGAGCTTGCGTTCAGATACAAACGTAACCTTTTATAATGTGCGGACCAGAGATAGGGAAACAACTTACATAGACATGAGTCGATCAAAACAATATCGCCATTTACATCATAAACAAACAACAGCACCAATGTATGCTTATTACATATATTTATTTGGTGATGACGCTGCCGAGTTGGTAATGGTGCACGCAAACAAAAATAAACAGGTGGAGTTTGACTTCGACAATTTTTTTGGGCGGGGGGGTTCACTTCGTCTTTCACATTAGGAATCGCGGGTGCATACAATTCACGCATTTTGTTTTAAATCTTCATTGTAAACTACTAAAAATAAATGAATAAAGGTGTCCAGTTTGGGGGGGGGGGGGTGCGTGCCACTCTCCCCCCATCCCCCCTCCCCCCAACGCAAACTCAACCCATGCGTAAGAGACGTCGGCTGCTTGGAGGAGACATTCGCGGCCGAACGCGATGGTGACTGTGGTATCGGCGTGCCCTGCACTCCCGTGGCGCTGCCTTGACGCATCTTCATCCCAGCTCCTCAAGCCAGCGTTTTGAGAGGGCAACGTCCAGGGAACGTACCGACTGAGAATTTAGGCCCCGCGTGCGTGGGTACGCACGTGGGGAGCGGCGGCGCAGCGGTTAGCGCGCTACGCTACGAACCCGGCGACCCGAGTTCGATTCCCGCACACGGCTAACACCGGTGACGATTATGATCTGAACCGTTCCGGGGCCTCGCCTAGGTCGAGTCAGCCTCAAATGAGTACCTGGTGCGGTGTGTAGTAAACATCGCCACTGGGGAGAAAAAGGCGACCGGGCGTGGTGCTGGCCGCCCACCCCTTCGTGTGACGTGCCGGCCTTCATAGGTGCTCGCTAACAGCACTTGGCCCCAACAGTCTGTTAAGGCTACACGGGGGATCTTTGTTTAATTTTTTGTACGTACGTATGTTCAACTTCTTTCTCCGCCCTGACCCAGAGCCGTGACCATCAGCACCATCGTCGTAGCTTGTAGCTCCGAAACCGCAGCCCGCGAGACCCTTATCTGGAACACGGAGATGGTGACACAGGGGGCAGCAATACATTGGGCGGTGTTCAAGTGTCTGCCACAGGCTCGACGCATTCACATTTGGGAGTCATTGCACATCTTCCACTCGGTCTATACCCTAACCTGTCATTTCCACCCCAGCTCTCGCTTGATTTAGAAGTTCGCCAAAGTGTGTGCGCTTTCAATCGTTTTCTCGGTGATTCCCGCGGTCTTGAAGGCGTGGATTGATTTTTTTTTTCTGGCAACAGAAGTAGCCCATGAGCTGAGACGGTGGTGCTGAGTTGGGGTGTTTGGTCGGTACGAACTGGGGTTCCAAATGGTACCACTATTCACCTTAACCAGTGTCCACCTTAACCAGTGTCCACCATGGGTAGTGTCCACCTTTTACAGTGTCTACCTTAACCAGTGTCCACCATGGGTAGTGTCCACTTTTGGCGTTGTTCACCTTTAAGCAGTGTCCACCATGGGTGGTATCCACCATCGACAGTGTCCACCACAAGCATGGTCCACCATGGCCAGTGTCCGCCATGGCCAGTGTCCACCGTGGACATGAATCTTATCGTAATATTACATTTCTTCATCAATCCCGTAGATATTTCATACCCATGTGTTTTTCTTGTTCTTTCTCCAAACACTACATTCTCGTCTTTGGTTCTTTCGGTAAAGTCACGTAGAATGAGAATAAAATTGTGTTATTTTATTTTATCAATTTATCATTTTATTCTCATTCTACGTGACTTTACCGAAAGAACCAAAGAAGATGAATCCTTGCAGTTACGAAAGCTTTAAATCGAAACTACATTCTCTATCAAAGACGCGAAAGGCACGCTTCTTTAACGCCTATGTTTTTCTCATCAAAGGCGACCACCGTCACTCGTAATATCGTCGTACATACGTGGCATCTTGAGAAGCAACTTTTCAAGAAAATCACTGTCAGCATACCTCGCCCTGTGTGGTACCGACAAGCCACGTTTTGTAGCCATTTGCTTCCACGATTAAACGGCAGTCTTGCGACGCAAAACCTCCCGTTTTTTTGTTGTTGTTGTTTTTAGCCAGAAACTACTGCTGTTGCTGCTGTTTGGCCGTGACGATTCCCCCCACCCCCCCTTCCCACTGTGCCCGAGGTTATTTTCACCGCGCTCTTACCGTGCTCAAGATGAAATCGCCTTGCCGAGACGTTCGCGAGACGTTGGGACGCTCGCTGCCGATGCGTCTCTCTCTCTCTGTCTCGCAAGAGCAATGATGTCCGCCCTCGTGGTCAAAGCAGGATTTTTAGGCAGTGAATAACCTAAAATAAAAACGTAAATAAGCTATTAAATACACGAACATTGTCAAAGCACAACGCAATAAAAATTGAGAACAATAAATATTAAGTTAAAAAAACAATGCCTAAAAGAATTGTTGATGAATGAACGCATATTACTTAAATAATAATTCAAATTTATAATGCGCATTCCATCCTAGGATCCCAGTGCGCAATGCATGGAAAGCAGTGAAACAAAAACAGAACCCAGCGGGCAACCGGCCACACTAAAGAGAGAAGGCCACTTAAAAGTGATGGGTTTTCAAAGCAGACTTAAATATATCTACCGACTCTGATAACGTATCTCATCCCTTTATCTCATCACTTTCTCACATCACATTCTCTCTCATCCCTTTATCTCATCACTTTCTCACATCACATTCTCTCTCATCGCTTTATCTCATCACTTTCTCTCTCTCTCGATACAGGCGTGTAGAGTTCCATGTGCCATTCGCGGATATCCCAACATCGTGAATAACGAGGCTGTACCGTGCTGCACACCACTTGTTGTCGATGCCCACTCGTGTCCTCGATCGTGGCGGTCTCTTCGGCCACGTTGCGAAACCGACAGCCAGCGAAGGCAGCAGCAGCAGCAACTTAACCCTTTCTCACGTGTACGTCATCAGTTTTTCTTCCCATTGAGTTCTGATGATGCACATGTGCCATGATGTGCGTACACGTCATCGGAATGCAACCGGATTTGTTTTTACTTTATCGTCACCGAGGCTCCCACAAAGCCATGCGGGAGAGGCCGCTGGCACAGTTTTGGCGCCAGCTGTCGTAGAGTGCGGCGATCGTGTCGCTAAAGTACTCTGCGGCGATTAACAAGGTCTTCAAAAACAACGCCGCTATGCCTCTCTAAATAAAATCAACGCTGATCCGCTCGCGCGTTTCGAGATTCAGCGGTGAACAGGACCCACCCACCCAACCCTGCAATTTGCAGGGTGAGTGAGTGGGTTTTAAAAGCGATGCAACGAAGCCGTTGCATAGCTTTTAAAACTTGAATTTTGGAGATTTAAGTCGCTACTCACTCAGCCACAGGCCGCAAGAAGATTGTACTCTAGGTGCGCATTGTAAAATGTGGCCTCCTCCCCGGTGTTGCAGTGGGACATTAACATGGGGTCAGGGCATAGATTTATACAACTTGACCTCACTGACCCAGATAGTCCGTGTTAAACGCTTTGTACCTGTGGTGGTTATGCAATGCCCCATTCACGAAGGAAGTCATGTGACTCAGATACCAGAACACTCTCACTTAAGAATGACTTAAGAACAATGTTTTAATTATGTCTTTCCCATAATTAGCCACGAGCCCGGTTTTATGCGTGAGCAGATGTTCGTTTGGGAATTATAAGTAAATGATAAAACGCATATGTGTAACTGTGTCAGTGGGAGAATTAATTACCGTGACCGCAAGCAAAATAGAGATGAAGTGATTTGGCTATTTAACTATCGTTCAGGTTCTTACATTTAATTGAAATATAATTAATTCAAAATAACGGAGCGATCCTCCGATAGTTTAACTCCACATCGCAAACATTTACCTGGAAGCAATGCCGTGGAGGATAACAATAATAGTATAATCGCTGAGCCAGCACTGCAGAGATTAAACTAAACACTAATTTTTATTTTATTTTACTGGGTAAGGCCCACTGAGCTATGCAACTCTTTTTCAGAAGCTACTTGGCCACAAATGATAGCCCAATGATGTGGCTTGTCACGTGGAACATTATAGCAGACACAAACTCTGAACGCGCGTTGATTGTAAATGCGGATGGGGGGGGTGGACTAGGTGAAAAGTCCACGCGACCACGGGAAGAGAGACACGCATATTTCAAATATACAGGCGTCAGGGTCGGGATCGGGATCGAACCCACAACCTCCAGTATACCAGGCGAGGTAGTTAACGTATCGCCACCGGTGGCGCAATAAGATCTTGAGTCCGAATCCGGGTTTTTGTTTTGTTTTTGCCCATCGTGATTAAACCGGGTTCTCATGTGTGCAGCGAGAGTCGACGGGCATCAGCACGGTCACCAGTGACTGAACAAGAAAAAAAGCAATTATATTAAATGCGGCTTTTCGCTTAATTCGTCTGAACCCAAAACTCTGAAGGATGACGCTTCAAGGATTGCTCATGTGAGAAAGAGCTTGTATGATTACACAGCATGAAGGAGCAATAGATATTGTCGTGTTAGAGAGACCTTTTCCTTTTGGTCGTGGCATGCGTATTGCCACATTGTGACGCCACCCCCCCCCCCCCCCCCCTTAACAGGCTGTAGGGGCCAAGTGCTGTTAGCGAGCACCTATGAAGGGTGGCACGACGCACGAGGGGGTGGGTGGCCAGCACCCCGCTCGACCGCCTTTGGCTCCCCAGTGGCGGTTTACTACACACCGCGCCAGGTTACTCGTTTGAGGCTGAGTCGACCTAGGGGAGGCCCAGGACCGGTGCAGATATTCGTCACCGGTGTTAGCCGTGTGCGAGAATCGAAGTCGTGTCGCCAGTTTCTTAGCACAGCGCGCTGACTGCTAACACCACCGCTCCTCTCATAACACCTTAAGATAAAAATACAAAGATCCCCCGTATAGCCTGAACAGACTTTTGGGGCAAGTGCTGTTAGCGAGCACCTATGAAGGGCGGTACGGCACACGAGGGGGTTAGGTGGCCAACAGCACACGTGCACACACGCACACACGTGTGCACGTGAATGCATACGTACGTACAGCAGGGTACAACTGTGGGTCGGAATAATTGAAGTGAGGGACGTGAGGCAGGGACGGCCTGGCCATGTCTCGTTGGACAGTGAGGAGGTCAACACCAACAAGAACAACAACAACAGAGTTTGCTTTGAACACAGAGACGAGAGGGCGGAGGGGAAACGCGAAGATGGGATGGAAGGATCCCATAAAGCGGGGATGGGAGGGCGGCCGTTTGACAAGGGAGCGGGTGTGGTAGGGAAGAGAAGATACCTGGGCAGTCGACCCCCACGGCAGAGTGGGAACAAATGTTTGTGTTTAGTTGGCTGCGTAGAACGGTGCGACAGAAGTTCAACGTGCATTCGTACAGAGAATCACACAGAGACGACCCAAAGGCTCGCACAGAGATCCATGGACTCGCACAGATACTCATAGACTAGCACAGAGACCCATAGGCTCGCACATAGAACCACCGACTCGCACAGAGACCCATAAACTCGCACAGAGGTCCATAGACTCGCACACAGACCCATAGACTCACACAGAGACCCATAGACTCACACAGAGACCCATAGACTGGCACAGAGACCCACAGACTCGCACAGAGACCCACAGACTCGCACAGAGACCCATAGACTCGCACACAGACCCATAGACCCGCACAGATACCCATAGACTCGCACACAGACCCATAGACTGGCACAGAGACCCACAGACTCGCACAGAGTCCCACAGACTCGCACAGAGACCCATAGACTCGCACACAGACCCATAGACTCGCACAGAGACCCATAGACTCACACAGAGACTCATAGACTCGCAGAGACCCATAGACTCGCACAGAGACCCACAGGCTCACTCACAAACTCCCGCAGCGATTCGATGAATCGTCACACAATTCACGGTCCTGATAGTGATTCGATAATCCATGAATTTTTTTTCTGCTCAGTGGCGCAGCGTTGTTCGGCGTGGGGCCTTGACGCAGGGAATTTAATGGGGCCCTCCTTTTCCAATCCTCTTTCAATTTATTCTCCCACTCCCCCATCTCTCGCCCGCCCGCCCGCGCGCACCCCTCCGCCCACCCCTCTTCGTAGCCCGACGATTAAAAACAAAACGTGCAAGAAGCGATCAAGGAAAAACGACCTCCCAAACGTCGTTTGGTGCGATTGGCGGCGGAGTCGGAAGAGGCGCGGTTACTGTCGTGTTTTTTTTTTCTTTGCAAAATGTTTGTTGTTGTAACGTTCTTACCCGCCCCGGCTGGACGTCTGTGACAAAGAGCTTTGCAGCTCATCGGATTCCTCCTGCGGTATAAATACATTTTCTGATTTTGAACTGGAGCGTGACCGCGAAACCATAGCTGCCGAGCCTCTCTCTCTTTCTCGCCACCGCCGCCCGTTATTACCTACGTGTGTTTAACTTCTTTTGCACCGTACGTAGCCAACCGTGATAATCGGAGGTGCGGCGGGGGACTGGGGGCGGGGGACAAACAAACTGAACACAAAAAAGCAGTTCTAAATCAATGAGTTTTCAATATAGATGAGTTAAAAGTGCATCGCCTTCCCCGGTGACTTCCTAATATCGGAAGGGAGGAAGAGCGTTCCAGACGGCCGCGTCTGAACGCGCGCGACGCGGTGACCACCGTCATTGTTCGATGGCCAGCCAAAAGCCGGTCTCGCCCCTCTGTGTAAATCCTCTACCCCACTCCCATTCGTCCCCTGCCCCCCACACCCCCAGCCAACAGCGGCGTCCCCTAACTCACAGTAATTGCGGTAAAGCGTGGAGGTAACTTTGAATAATTTATTTGGTGTCGTTGGCTGCAGATTTTGGCAGGAAAGGGTGCGAGGTATTTTTTTTTACCATCCCCTGCTCCCTCTGTCACCCCCCCTCCTCCTACCTCCCTTACCAGATCCTCTCTTCTGCTGCTCCTTATCTGTTTCGATACTTTACCATTGCATCACCCACCCGCTCACTCACGCACTCACTTGCACACTCACTCAGTCAACCACTCACTCACCCATTCACTCACCCACCCACTCACTCGCACACTCACTCAACCACTCACTAAACTATTCACTCGCACACTCACAAACTCACTAACTCACCCACGCACACGCACTCACTAGCACACTCAGTCAACCACTCACTCACCCACTCACTCCACCCACTCTCTCTGCACACTGCAAGTCACAGCGCCTCTCTTTGCGTTTCATTGCCCACCAAACGCGCGCCCCTCCACTTTGGAATCTGCTCCCAATCTTCTCTTTTAACCCAAACGCTTACGCGACGAACCTTGCTCATCTCATCGACCACGTGATAACTCTCACCTATCGTGCTGTTTGTAGCCGGCCGCTAGATGTGTGAACCGGGGCCTCTGGGCCTGTGCACGGCGACATTTATATAATTATTATTTTAAAATTTTGACTTAAAACTTTCGTGACTGCATGAATTCATATTTTTGGTTCTTTCGGTGAAGTCACGTAGATAGAAAAAAATAAATACAAATTCAAGCAAATAAAATAAAAATAAAACGTACGACGTTTCGATCACAACACAAGCATTCGTCCTGATGACGATCGCTTGTGTTGTGATCGAAACGTCCTCAGTTTAATTACTTTTATTGTTTAATCTTTTTTTCTCATCTCCGTGACTTTTACCGAAAGAACCAAGAGTATCATTGTACAAGTGTAGCTCTTTGCACGTCGAGATTTAGTTTGTTCTCTCAACGCAACTCGGACGAGAGCGACGGGGTACATTTTAGCTTCCTGCTGTGAGCTGGTGGTGGTGGTGGGGGGGGTGTTCGGGGTCGTGCGCACGGAACTGCGATTCGTTTGATTCCACCGCGCGTCAACAGGCCGAGGGTACTGCGTGTGTAGGGGCCGGGGCATAAGAGGCAGGGGGGTTAAGGGGGGAGGGGTGGGTAGGGTTGGAGGGGGAGTGGTGGTTAAAGGGGGGGGGGTGGTAAGGGCCGGGGGGTTAAGGGTGGGGGGGTTAAGCA